GTCCATCCACCCATCTTTTTATCTATCCATCCACTGATCCATCCATCCATCCGTCTTTCCATCCACCCATCTGTTTATCTATCCATCCATCCATCCTTCCATCTGTCTGTCCATCCATCCATCCATTCATCTATTATCCATCCATTATCCGACAGTTTGTTTATCCATCCAACCATTCATCCACACATCCATTTACCCATCCATCATCCATCCATGATCTATCCATCATCCATCTCTATCCACCCATCTGTTTATCTATCCATCCACCCATCCATTCATGCATCCATCCACTTACCCATCCATCATCCATCCATCTATTCATCCATCATCCATCCATCCTTCCGTCTGTCCATCCATCCATTATCCGGTCTGTTCGTCCATCCAGCCATCCCATTTTATTTTACTAAATAAAGGACCCATTTTAAGACCACTGTGTTTTATTTATATCTACCCAATACTTTTTTTTCTTGAGCTCCACCTATTTTATGTTTAACCCCCTCAACCCAACATCCAAGTGAGTTCAGTCTGTCATCTGCCTGAACAACAAAGTCTAACATTTTTTGTGTGTCTCAACATGTTTTTTGTTATTTATCTTTTTCAGGTGCACTGTCCACATCAGGATATGCTGTTTATGCTCAGTATGTCTCAGAAGAATACTTTAACCCTAACTTCAATGGACTGAAGTAAGTTAAAAGGCGTCAACACACGGGTATAAATAATGTACAAGACTTTAAACTGTAAAGTTTTACATTTTCACATAGACTAATTGGTAAAGAAAATAAAACCATCAGTGGTAATCCCATTACAATTTAGCCATTTTATCATTTTAAATAAGAAAGTGTTCCGTATTTATGTCAGCATCATGTTAGCATCACATCACTGTTATGTACATCTATGATCGCACGAGCTCAACCCTCCCATGACTCTCTTGGACATTTTCATGATGCAGCTATTTACTAGAACTGACATGAAATTCAATTATTGTACTTTACTTAAGTTAAATTTATGCCATTTTACTTCAAAGTGGGATACTTAATTCATTTTCCCACAAATAAAAGGACTTAAATAGGCCTGCAGAGTTAAGCGTTTTAATTCTTATCGTCTTTTCTTTTGTCCTAAAATGCAGTGGTGGACACAGTTCTGTTAATCCCCTAATGGGTAATAGCAGAACAAATTTTTTGATCAGCGGATTAATATTTTAGCTAACTTTGGAAACCATTAGCAGAATTAGCTTCCGCAGAGTATTTTACGAACAGCTCGTAAGGCATTGCTATTATGTGTACACAAGACAAGATGTGATTGGTCAACAAAGCTTCAACTGGAAGGAGATGAAAACGTGTGGCGCAGACTGAGTGACAGTTGTCTAAGTGGCTAGCAGTTTAGCATTACTGCCTGCTAATTTATTTACCTGTTTAGCATTAGCAAAGCAAATTTTTTTAGTCAACGGAATATGGGTTAGCAGAGCTAACTTTTTGGTTACCTGTGCACATCCATCCATCCATTATCTTTTACCTGGTTCTTCCTCTTTGGGTCACTGGTGCCCATGTCCAGGTTACCTGTGCCCACCACTGCTAAAATGTAAAAATATCGTTACATGTTAAAATTCATTATTTATGTAGGGTCAGCACCCCTCAGATTCTGCATTTAATTTTTACAGGTATAACCTCGGCACTCCCATCTTCCTTGGTTGGGTGGGCTCAGCCTTTCACATGGCCGGAGGTGTTTTCTATCTATGGTCAGTGTGTACACCATTCTGTGGAGAAAACCAAACGTAAGTGGAGACACATACTCACCGCAAAACTCAAACTAGAGAAATAACTCCATTCACACGTGCCTAAAGAAATTCTAGAACCCTCTCTGCTTGATGCATCGGTGCCGTTATGAAACTTGAAGTTGGGGGTGTTCAGACGGTGCCATGGACATAAACCCTCAAAAGAAACTTTCTGTAGATGTCTGAAACCAGTTTAAGGCCCTGTCCACACTACTTTTGAAAGAAGGACATTTTTGGTATTGTAACCTCCTGTCCAAACACAGGACACTTCTATCAATGAGTGTCCTAGAAATCAAAACAACAATGGAGCTGTTTTTACCGTTTTCTCTGTGATGGTCTCACATCATCTTGAACCTGCCACCATTAAACATTATGTCAGAAATGGTCAATAACTGAGAGGAAACTGTAAACAGTCTTTTTCTTGCGGTTGCTCCCTCTTCAGGGGTTGCCACCATGCATCATCTTCCTCCATCTCTCTCAGTCCTCTACCCTCCCTCTAACTACCTCCATGTCCTCTCTAACTACATCCATACATCTCCTCTTTGCAGTTTCCTGGCAGCTGTATTTCTAACACCTTTCTACCAGTATACCCACTGTCCTTCCTCTGGACATGTCCAAACCATCTCAGTCTGGCCTCTCTAACTTTATCTCCCAGTTGTTCAACCTATGCTGTACCTCTGATGATCTCATTCCTAATCTTATCCATCATTGTCCCTCCTAGATCTGTCTCTTGTCTTTTAGTCCACTGTCTCCAGACCATACAACATAGCTGGTCTCACCACTGTCTTGTAAGAGTTTTCCTTGACCTTTGCTGACATCTTCTTGTTATAAATCACTCTTGAAATTACAAAATAAACTGTATCAAAGAGACATACAAACAAGGTTTTAGATGATAAGTTAGCAAAGAATAATCATTCCCAAATGGCATTTTTGCATAAATTACTGAATCAGAATCAGAATAAACTTTATTGGCCTTGCACCGAGATACAACGCAAATATGTACGTACAGTCGTCCGAAAGATGGGCGGAGTGCACGAAGCTGCAACTATAGAAAGCGCGACCTTCTTATCCTTATCAGATAATAATCTTTGATAGGAAAAGGGGGAGAAACATGAGGGTAGATAGTGGTATTACAAAAAAGATCTTTCACATCTTGTCTATCAGGACACGATTTGAGACATCAAAAAACTCTACCAGCAGCACAATTAAAACATGATTACATTTGCATTTGACATCGAGGTGTTGAGATTTGTCCATGAGCGTTTTTTCAGATCAGCCGCAGTTTCTGAAGATGTTGTTCCAGCCAGCAGTTCTGATAAGCTTGCACAGAAAGTTCTCGGGGGGGGATAGATGAAGCTTTTGTCCTTGGTTACTCATGACGCAGGAGAAATTTGATAGTCGGCCCGTCTCCGAGGCCGTCGGGAGTCAGATTCAGATAAGCTTGATTCTTGTTTTTCTTCAGGCAGAGATTACTTTTTTCTTCAGCCTTGAGTCCATCTGGGCGTTCTGGTTCTGAAAATGCCTAATTGTGGGATTCCATTCCACTGATCCATGCTATGAGTCTCCTTCAAGGTCGAACCCACCATGCTGACGAGTCCCAGAAGCCACAGGTGGCCTGCGATTCTCATAAATCGCCTCCACATTATGGTTAAGCTCGTAAACCAGATGATTTAAAGTTCCTACTACACGGACCAAACCTTCACACTGACTCGGAAGCTTGTCCATGGCCGGAACTGCTGCCGATGTCTTCTTCAAAAGTCGATAAATCAGAGCCCCGCTGATGCCAAAAAGCAGAGTCCCTGCTATCATAATTCCAAATATGTAAACGCCTTCAACATCCTCCTGAGACAGAACTGAGAGGCACATCAGCTGCCACACTCCCCATGGATCCATGACATACCCCACAGCATGAGTCTCAGCTGGACACGCTGGTTCTCCAAGACCTTGTCGCTTTGATGAAAAAAATCTTATCAATAGAGTTGAACGCCCACGATACCAAATCCATAATCTTCTTAATTTATGTTCGGAAGATGAGACCCAGATGCTTCAGACACACAGAGAGCAGAGCAGGAAGAAGGAAAAACCGGGGAGGGATGGCAGAAGCAACCACCTCGATGAGAGCCAGGGAGGAAAAAAAAAAAACCTTGCATATCAGACATATACTCCACTGTTTATGTGGCATAAAAATTAAGTTATGCTAAGGCTAAATGAGGTCTAAATTTAGCCAAAGATATAAAATGCTAAATTAAGGATACAGCTAGACCTACCATTGAACCTGTCTGTGATCTATACATACAACAGGTCCCAGATCTTAATGTGGATAAAACAGATGCTTAGAAGAATAAGGCACCATATAACACCAAACAGTTTTCTAGCATACCTCCTATCCTATGAGTTTGGCATAGTAGCAAACTGGTTCTAAATATAGAATTGCAGGAATGTTCTTAGCTTTTTGTGTATTTGAACAGAAATCAAGCATTGTTTTTCAATTTGAACAAGTAGTTCATTTTAGTGTGGGAAAAACCTGGTGATCCCGAAGCCACATTGTTAGCGTTAGCATTAGCATGACAAAATTCCATTTTTAAAGAAAGTATCGTAACTAAATAAACATAAAATCCCAAGACAAAACTAAAACTAGACGAGTACATCTAAAGGTTTGCTGAAATGTCCACATTAAAGTGTAGGATAAAGTGCAAATTTATAACGTTATAATAAAAAAATGTCTTTGTCTTTCATCAGCGTTATCAATGTTCAAGCACAACTGGACCCAGAAGAAAACAAGCCGACTGAAGTCCCTTCAGACAAATCAGAGAAGACCTCTAAAACCAAAATGTCTTCCATCTCCGAGCTGTCGTCCAGATCTGAGTGCTCAGACGTATCACCCATATCGTCTAAAACAGCGCGCATGTCCAAATCTGGACGCATAGCCGGGTCTGGACAGTCATCCACAACGGGACGTACATCAGTTAGGTCTTCAGGATCAAGATCAGTATCGGGTTCTGGGTCAAGGTCCAGCCTCTCAACTTCATCGGAATCGCAGAGCAACAGCTACAGCAGGCGTACCGTGTCCTCGCTGTCAGACAGTTTGACTGGTGAAACTACACCATTCGTCAAAAACACCTACATTTGAACTGACGTAAAGAGTGAAGGACAGACATTTAAAGGATAGTCTGGAAGTCTATTTAAGACGTGATCACATCTCAACTGGAACAGATGGCGGTCAAAGCAATTCCAGTTTGAAGAACCAGGAAGAAGTTGTGATGGGGGAGTCGAGGTAACCAAAAAAATCCAGCCGTCAAGGACAAAACAATCTAAAACAAACACTACATTGAGCATTTTTATACCTAGATCAAATAACGAGCACATTCTCTGAGAGCAATTAGTGCCACAGATGTTGTTGGGTTGAGAAAGTGACAATGTAACCAACTGCAGGTAATATTCACTACATTATGACGTACAACCATATTTAAAATATATATATTTTCATTTTTGAAAACATGCGAGTGGAAAAAAGATTCAGTGAATGTTTTGTATTAATAAAATATTTCTGTTTAACAATGTTTTTGTATGTTATTTTTTGCTTGCTATTATTAGGTTGGACACGTATAAGCACAAACTTGCATTTGATGTGGTAGCTCGGTGGTCACTGCCGCAGTCGGTACTTATTTCAGTACACATCATATAATCAGACACAGTATGTATCCAGTACCAAAAATGTGAAGATGGTTTTAGAACTCTCACAAAGAAACAAATACTCCAACTAGGCCTGTCACGATAACAAATTTTGCTGGGCGATTAATTGTCTCAGAAATTATTGCGATAAACGATAATATTGTTTGAAATTTGACAATAATTAGTAATTATTGTCAAATATAAGAAGAAATGTTTGTTCATTTGTTTTGCATTTAGTACCATTTTTTGACCACCGAATGGTATAGTATTGATTGAACCGAAGGATGGATAGTGGGGGAACGAGCAGCGTGTCTCTTTTAAGAAAAATGGGAGAGAGGCCCCTTGACGTGACATGGGCTGTCTCTCTTCGGTTCTCAAAATGGCGGACGTTTGGTGTGGTTTGAGCTCTATAGCATAGTATTTTTCACACAAAGCTTTTAATTAAAAAAATCAATAAACAAGTTCTCAGCTTCTTGTTGCAGAGAAAAACTTTTTACACAAAGGCACGGGTTTCAACCGTGAATTTTGGAGATTCGACAAGACGGAGGTTTTTTCCCCGAGGTCGACCTGTTAGCTTAGCTTCTCAGCTTAGCTGCTTTTAACGATCCAAAAACGCGATTTTGGATGGTTAAAACAGATTTTAAAGATAAAAGGGAAAGGGAGGGGTCAGTGAAGAGCACCGGACTTGAGCCTTTTGTCATCCAGTGTCTTCAGTAGAAAGAGAGACATGAAGAAACAATAAAACTAATAAATTAAAATGAGGTTGATAATTTTCATTTATCATGCGATTAATTTATTTATTTATTGTTTATTGCGACAGGCCTAGTTCCAACAATGCAACATGCACGCATCTGCAACCATGACACCATGAACAACTTATTCCCACAATACATGCCGAATAGTGGTGGATACTTAGCTTAGCTAACCCATATTCTGTTAACTAAAAAAAAAGAGCTTTATTAATGCTAAACAGGTAAAAAATATATATAGCAGAAGCTAAAGCTAAACCACTATCTGCTCAGATGACTCTCTCTCAGTCTGCGTCACACATTTTCAGCTCTTTCCAGTTGAAGCTATGTTGACCGATCACGTCTTGTCACGTGCACACATTGTCAGCAAACAGTCCCTTACGCTCTCTGGTTGAAAACCTCACTGAAAAATGTTGGATTGTATACCTGGATTATTGAGCATGGACTTTGTTGTTTTCAACCAGTTTGACAAGACTGTCAACAGGGAAGAGGGCTGGCAATGGATGAGGGGGCGTACCAAAGAGACCATCTTATCACAAGCAGAACTGGTTTGTTCCACTTTGGAGTAAGCTGTTGGGGGGGAAGAATCAGTTTTGCTGTGTGTTTCCTTGACTGATGAAGCCTTCCGGATCGAAGGTGAAACGTTTCAGCACAAAAAAAAAAAAGAAACTGTCCAGATGACCTGACTGAAAAATGTTGGGTTAATTATTTTTACTTCACTCCTAACCCATTTCATTGGTCTAACTGTTCTTGAAACGAGGTGTATGGGTAAAACGGTCAGGGTTGTAATCCTACGCCATCCCTGATGGGAACATGAAAGATGCTTACTGGACAAATCTACCTAAAAGATAAGGTGAGAGACAAACCAAAACATCCACATTACTAATATTTAACAAACCACATCAGCAGTGAGTCAGAAGGTATCGCTCAGTCTTTTTCCCCAGGTGAGACATGGTCAGTTCTTCATTTCCGAAGTAGATTTTCGTGGAGCACCAACACTCATCATGGAGTACCGTACGGTGATTATGTATGTGGAGATTGGCTGCTTTATTACGTGCCTGTGTGGCTGGATCCTGGTGAGTTCCACACTTCCCACAGAGTACTGGACCTTCTCAGAGGTGAGCAGCCTTGTGTTAACCACCTCTAAACACTACTCCAACCTATGGAGGGACTGCGTCTCGGACACCACGGGGGTGTCCGACTGTAAGGACTATCCCTCATTGCTGGCCTTGCCTGGTAAGATAATCCGAGGTTTAAATACATAAATATGCATTTACTTTGTTTAATTGTAAGTGAGTGTGTAGCGATTAGGATGGGGAACTACTATACGGAAGCTTAACGCTGCCACCCCACCAGAAATATAATAGAATTGTAACCCTAATTGAGATTTGCATAAAATAGAGTCGATACAAAAAACAAACTAACAAAAAACCAACAACACGTGATTCTGGTAACTAAAATAGCAAATAAAATTCCTAAACTACCATTTAAATGAAATTTCCTAAGAGGTATTTCTTTAGAAATAACCCCCACCTTATAACCCTTGTAGGTTCCCTGGAAACTGATTATTTTTTCTTTGTAGCACTGGAAATCCCATCGTTTAATATATACCGGTAACGTCATTGTGAAGCTTGGGGATCCTTCTTTTAAAATATAGGGCTGTATTTCCTGATGACATCATTCTAGACTGACAATAATCAAATTTTCAATCTGGCACTCAAACAAAACTAGCTTGTTTACAGGTGATAGATCGATAAAATTGAACAAACTACGTATCATTACGAAATGGAGAAACTGAAAATAAAAATAACTCGGTGAAAATTTTTCATTGTGACTCATGTTCCCAGTATGTACTATATCTATGTTTATGTTTTGTTTTTATAATTCTTTCATGTTGTAACAAAACATTTTTGAGGTATTACATACCATGTTATAACAAACCATTCATGTTTAAACATTATAAATAAACTATGAATTTTTTTTTTTTTTTTTGCACAACATGAAATATATAACAATGAATGATTTATTTGATAACACAATTGGTTTCTTTTTCATTTTCGCTTGTGTGGCATTAATTTGCTTCCGTAAGTTATGAATGTCTTGATAAATCATGCTTTTACTTTAATATTCTTTAATCAATTGCTAACAAAAATGAGCACATCACATCTAATTACTTTTTATTCAGTGTACAGGCCTTTTCAATCCAACCACAGTGAAGTAAACTTAGATGGAATTGTTTTTTTGGGGGGTGGGGGTTGCAGATTTTTATGACTATATAATGCCATCAGATCAGCTACAAAGAATAGTGCATGAAAGGTTCCTTGTTATATATTTATTGTATTTTCATGTTTTTCATATTCATATTTTTTATAATAAAATGTTTTCGCATTATTGTATATGTAGCTAATATGTTATGACAAAAACTATGTAATGACAGTGAATTATTTGTTGTAATAACATAACTTTTGTTGGAGTGGCAACAGTATGCGTCCACTTAATTTCTCATTACAGATTAACATTTGAATAAAATTCTTAATATTACTGAAAGCTTGTAAGTTTGATTTATATTAAAAACATTTACTGTTATAAATGTGAGATTTTTCTACTTAGTATAGTTCTAGTTCTCATCATCGAGAAAATGGAGGTGATTTGTTATTAAGATTTTGCCTATTGGACATCCTGCTCCGCCCACATCAGATCTAACCAATCCTCTTCAAAACGGCAATTGTGACCACGCCCATTAGCTGTGTAGCCCCGCCCATACATGTGCTTCATAGTCGAGGGTTAATGCCTGACAACTGATAACACTGTCCATTTTAATGCAGGAAGTGTGTTACTTTATATTAATCATTATTAAAAAAAATTCAACAAAGTTTGACTTTTATGTTCCTTTTTTGCAATGAACTGTGCGCAAATTTATGCTAGCAACAAAATAGAAACCTGAACAGCAAGGCAGAAAAAAAACACTACATGAATCTGATTTTTTGCCGTTTCTTCTCAGGTTTCCTGCACGCCTGTAGAGCGCTCGCTGTGTGCGCCGTCATCACCGGTTTCTTCGGAGGGGTCCTCACGCTAATTGGGATGAAATGCACGAAAATCGGTGGAACAGAAATCACTAATGCGAGGGTCACTTTTTCTGGCGGCGTAACCTACCTCGTCTCAGGTAAAACGAAAGTTATACTGAATCTTCAAACATCCAGACAACGTCAACAAATCGTAATGCTTTCCATTAGGATTTTGCGGTATGATCGTGTACTCTTGGTGGGCGAACAAAGTCGTTACAGAATTTGTGGATCCAAATTTTAAGGCACAGAAGTGAGTACTTTTAAAGCGGCTCAAACATCAATAAATAAACATTTTGTGATGCGTAGAAAAGGCTCAATGCTTTTCTTTATTCACTCTAGGTTTGAAATTGGGGCGGCTGTTTTTATTGGCTGGGGAGGCTCCATTCTACTCATCTGTGGAGGGACAGTGTTGACTTATTTCTCGGCAAAAGAAGGCTTAGTATCCAGGTGAGTATACATCCTACTGTTATGCTTAACATAATAGTAAGAACTTCATCTTGTGTGTATTTTTACTATAGTTCCGCAAAAAGGGAACGGAGACCGGTTTCTTACGCCACTGCCCGTACCAGACGTACGTATATGCCGATGTCGTTATCATCCAGAACGACTCTGGGGCCTCCGCTGTACTATCCAGGTGCGAGGAGCCACATAACCAAAGCGACAAGAACTGCTCAAACTTTCAGCCGGGACACCTTCGTCTGAGCCACGCACAATCTCGACGCCGAGAAGTTTTGAGAAATTCACTTCAAATGCTGGAAACAGGTCAACATCATAAAGTGAACACTGTCGTCCTCATCTTGGTACGTTTTACAGCATCTAGATTCTCGTAAGATCGTGATCACAAACTAATTCCTCTTCCCGGGAAACTATCAGCGTGTGGTTATTTACACTACTCCAGATATATTTTTTTATATACACCGGTATTAAAAACACTGAAGTACCCACTTTTGCGCCGCTAGGTGGCAATCACAAGAACACTAACAACTAAACTGAAAACATTTTTTAGCTTGGCCATTGATGTCTCGGAACAATGGTGACTCTGTCCTTTGTTATTTATACGACACCATTAGCAACAGAAGCATTTACAATGGTGCGAGGGTCTAGGGGTTCTACCCCAGAAAATTTTGAATTAAGTAAACGCCATTTCCTACATGGTATATTTTACCAGGTTGTTAAACATCTACATTTGCCTAAACATGTTAATAATGAATGTTACTTCCATTTCTATTAATAAACTTATAAATTACCGTAAAATCAATTCTCAACCTACCGTGTCTTTTGTGTTTTGGTCCCTTCAAATTAAAATAAACCCCTTTAGGGTTTGTGGACTTATAACAAAATCAAAATATTCTTGTGTAGAGGTGGTGCCCTACGAGTGCAATTAATTAAATTACTGAACAAATTACTAAATTAATGTATTACAATTTACATATTTTCTCTAAAAAGAGCAGCTTTTCCCGCATATACATTAGAAAAAACTGTCAATGTAAGCTATATTTTGGTACATTTAAAAAATAAAAATAAAGCACAGCTTTTCGACAATGTGCAATAATTCATTTTAGGTTGTGTCGCTTTTATTTGTTGCATTTACAGTACCGTATTTTTCGGACTATAAGGCACTCTTAAAATCCTTTAATTTTCTCAAAAATCGACAATGAGCCTTATAATCCGGTGCACCTTATGTATTAATCCTGGTTGTGCTTACTGACCTCAAACCGATTTTGTGTGGTACAACTGTACAATGTTAAGAGTTATTGTGAATGAGTTGAATAAAGTTTGACCTATCTGACTGTTTTGTTTTGCTTAATGCGCCTTATAGTCTGAAAAATACGATAATTTGTTTTAGGTGGCACAGCTTTTCTACAACTTGTAATTTGTTTTATAAAGTGTAGCTTTTCCTGCATTTGCAGAATTTCATTTTTCACCATGGAGAGGTAACGGCAAGATGGGTTGTGACTGGTGAAGAGCACGAGCATAGCATTGACAAAAGATCTTTAGCTAGAGAAGACCACTGGTCAGAAACTGTTGACGTCCTCAGCTTTAAGCTTTCTTTTTAGGCCTCCTTTAAACTGGATAATTCCTGCTCCAATCTTTGGGACCCAAGAGAACGTGGCTGGATTGTGGCTCCATTAGCGTGAAGGTAATCATGATGCTGCTACGCTCATAGCGCTCATGAGATTGGATTTTCCTTCTAGATTCCGAGTCCTTGGCACAACTCTGGATCTACTCTTGAGCTAGATCGTTCCTCTGTGCTGGGATGTTTTAATAACTTTGTCAGATCCTGCTGTCATTAATTTAGAAGGAGACAAGAACAGGGAACAGGTGGAAGAGAGCTTGGAGAGGTGGAGGTACGCACTCGAAAGAAAAAAGGAATGAAACTCTGTCGTAAGACAGAGTACAATAGTCCCTCGATTATCGCGGGGGCTTACGTTCCAGACACCAAGAAAAACCAAGTAGGAACATTATATTTATTTTAGTATTTCTATATATTTTAAGGCTTTATAAACCCTTCCGACAAGCTTACAATGTTCTAGACTCTTAAACCTAGTAATATTAACAACATAAATATATGTACTGCACAACAGCTACTGCAAAATTTTACATGGGTACTCACCAGCTTGGTCCGGTTCTGATCGGCGCTCTGCAGTCGTTGAGCACCAGACGCTTTTGGAGAGAGCCGGACCTTAAGAGAGTCAGCACAAAACCACACAATGGTCTCAATTGAGTCGAAATAATCCAGAAGAATCTGATTAAAAAAGTCTGGGTGAGATCCGGAGAAGACACCAGACCTCCAAGCAATGCCTTCCCGCTCGAGAGGCGTCCTGGGCCGACAAGCAGCACTCAGACTGACCGATGAGGCTGCGAGTAGTTCTGGTTCGGTTCCGATCGTCTCTCTGCATCCACTGAGCGCCGAAGTCACTAAGGACAGAATTTTTTGTCATGTTCAGATCATATCAAAACTTTCCCTCCATTTCAGCAGCCAAAAGCACTGTTGACTTCTGGGTAGTCTAGTTCTTTTGACTGGCGTTATAGTGTAGGCTTATTGAAAGGAAACTACAAAATGGTGGCGCCTGTCCGAAGTTTTTTTCCGTTGACTTTATATCTGTATCTTCCCAACCAAGTGAGTAATATTAAAGTTGACAATTGTTGAAAAACTGCAAAGGAGCGAGTCTGCAAAAGTCGAACCGCGAAGTAGTGATGGACTACTGTACATGTGTGTGAATGAGAGGGAGGCCAGTGGAACAGTGAGGCTACAAGGAGCAGAGGTCACAAAGGTGCAGGACTTCCAAGGATTTGGGGTCCACTGTCCAGGAAAATGGAGAGTGTGGTAAAGAGGTGAAAAAGAGAGTCCAGGCAGGTTGGAGTACATGGAGAAAAGTTTCAGGAGTTATTTGTGACAAAAAGGGAAAGGAAAAGTTTACAAGACAGTGGTGAGACCAGCTATGTTGTATGGTCTGGACACAGAGACATGGACAAAAAGACAGGAGAAAGAATGTGAAGTGGCAGAAATGAAGATGTTGAGGTTCTCCTTAGGAGTGACCAGGATGGATAAGATCAGGAATGAGATCGTACGGAACTGGTTGGATAACTGAGAGATAAAGCTAGAGGCCAGACTGAGATGGTTTGGACATGTCCAGAGGAAGGACAGAGAGTATATTGGTAGAAGGATGTTAGAAATGCAGCTGCCAGGAAAAAGACAAAGAGGAGACATACGGATGCCGTTACATGACATGGAGGTAGTTGGAGTGAGGAAAAAGATGGGAGGACTTGCTTGAAGAGAGAACATCAAAAATAATAGGAGAGGAGATCCACTTGTTCTCTGTTGATAGTTTTCTGGTCTTGTTCATTGACCTACACAAGGAGAGGTCAGTGAACAAGGCCAGGCTGATTCTGGCAGATCCTGAACACCCACTCCATGTTGAGTTCAGGTTGCTTCCATCTGGACGCAGGTATCTATAGTGGTTCCCAACCATGGTCCTTGAGGAACCCCATCCTGCGTGTTTTAGTTGTTTCCCTGATTTGACACACCTGACTTGAATCAAAGGATGACTAACAGGTTTCATAGAACTTAACGTAATAAAATCACTGAATCAGGTGTGTTCCTCAAGGACCAGTGTTGGGAACCACTGGATTAACAGAATGACAAACTCATTCATCCCTGCAGAGATCAGACTTCTTAACGAACAATGATTTCTGTACTGTTATTTTAATGTCTCCATGTCTTGTCTAGTATGGATGTTTTATGCACCTACTGACTGTGAAACAAATTGCCCCTCAGGGATAATGAAAGGATCCTTGAACTTGAACTCCTATAAAAGCCGAATGTAAAAATCCTTTTCGGTGTTTGTTATCCAGCACCAGATTAACAGATAATCCCAGACACCGCATGGTTAACCCAACACGTTTCAAGCTGCTCTGTCCCAGATCAAATGAAGGGAAATTGTTGAAATAAACCGTAGCACGTTTGCTTTCCTCAAAGACATTCAGGTAAAACAATCGAGGCAAAAGCGCAACTGTCTCTACAGACATGCAGAAATAACTTCAGACATTGATCTACAAATACATATTTTCAGTCACATTTTATTCATCAATAGAAAATCTGATGTACAAAACATACAGTACAAAAAAAACAGCATCTAAATGAGACTTAAAAATACGAGAGAATCTGAAACAGTCTAAGGCAAGTAAAGAATTGGCACGAGGAAGGAAAACTGAGATCTAAAGCTCTAAGTTAGCTATTAAATAATCTTTGCTCATCAAAGTCTGTTCCTGGATCTTGTGTAAAGTATTGCGTTCCTTTTTGTGTTACAGGTTTTATATAAAACCGCCATTTGGCATCAAGTGCTGAGGTCAGACGAGCTGGTTGAGGTCTTCTTGTCTGTGCTACTAATGTTTATTGCTAATGTCCTCAGAGTCGCTGAAGTCACTGAGGGAGACGAGGCTGCTCTTCAGGGTGCTTCCTGTTCCGGCTTCAGTCAGACCTGCCGGGACACAAACGGTTGGGTTTGTTAGTTTTCCAGACCGAGCAGTTCTGATCTGGTCTATGCGTCTTTGCTGACCTGATCTGTGTCCCTTTCCCGTGGAGGTTCCCCACACGCTGGTGCTGGGCGAGTCCAGGCTCTTCCTCAGGGGTCCTGAGCCACGGAGAGAAGCTGGTTTGGACACTTCCTGTTTGTCCTCTGAAGAGACCACCCAGTCGCTGCTCTCCTCCAGATCTGTAAACTGTCAACACAGACGTAACAGTCTTAAATATTTTACTTACCCTTAAACCGAAGCTGCTGTTTGAGGTCCAGTTCTCTTACCAAGAGCTCGTGCGTCTCATGCGTTCTCTCAGGTAAGATGCTTACGCCTCCTGCTGGCTTCTTCACCTCTCGCTCTGTGAACTGCTTCTCAAACTTTGTGACCATGTCGCTGATAATGATATCTAAAAAAAAAATACAAAGGCAATTATCAAACTATAAGAGCTTATTGGAAAATAATGGCTTCATAAGAAGACCTTCAGTTACAAAAGGTAGACAGTAATGTTCTACATCTACGATAATTACAGGGATTCTAGTTGCTTTTGTGTTAAAGCTCATTCAACGGTTTTTATACTCCTTAAAATAAAAATCGTAAAACTCCATTAAAATTACTTAAATCTGTGACTTATGGCAGAGAGATTAATGAATTAGTAATACATCCTCAAAATCCTGTTCTGTCCAACCATTTTAATAAAGTTTGAGTTCATATTAAATGATTACACCGTCACTGAGAGTAGATTTCATCTTAGCAGGTGCTTATGGGGGAGTGGTGGCGCAGAGGTTAGAAGATGGGTCTGTGATCGGAAAGTCGCGGGTTCAACTCCCAGTATCGGCAACATCAAAATGTGGGTGGAGAAGGTGAAACACCCACGCCTGCCTCCGCCCTCACTCGCCCCACTCTGGGCCCCTGAGCAAGGCCCCACCATCTGCTCCCTAAACAGGTCTTTCTTGCAAACGAGTTCTTGTGACTCAATGAAACCAACCTGTATAAATAAAGGGTAAATGAAAAAAATGATCAGAAACCGCTCTAAATTTAAAGATTCTCTTCCATCGTTTTCCTCCGTCTTGAAGAGTACTGTCAGAGAACAGTGACTTGGATCATGTATTGATAATTTTACAATTTGCAAACTTCACTTGATAAAACTGCTCCGCTGAAAAAGAAAGTAATCAGAGGAGATTAGCTCCTTGGTTCATTTCTGAGTTACATACTTGAAAACAGACATCTAGAAACCAGGAGAGAAAATGGCGCTCTACTAACGTTGAAGAATTTTACTTATCCTGGAGAGATAGCCTGCTAACGTACAAAAAAGCACTCCATAGATTACTCATCTTTAACAGATGAAAATAAAAATAACCCCAGGTTCCTTTTCATTACCATAGCTAGTCTAATGAAAAATCATATCTGTGTTGAACCATGTATCCCTACAACTATAAACAGTGATGAGTTCATGAGATTCTTTATAAATAAAATTGTTTCAATTAGGGGAAAAATTCAATCCAACATTCCTACTATCACCTCTGGTTCTGTGTCAGATGAGACAAATTTAAAAATGTCACTAGAATCTGATTTATGTTTGGACTGTTTTTGTCCTGTTGAGCTCTCTGAATTGTCAAAAATAATAGCTTCATCCAAACCATCCACATGTCTGCTAGATCCCATTCCAACCAGACTGTTTAACGACACGTTTCCCTAAATTAATAACCACAACTCGGATCTGCTTAATTTGTCTCTAATAAATGGTTACGTACCACAGAGCTTTAAGATTGCTGTAATTAAACCTTTACTTAAGAAACATAACTTTGACGCAGGAATCCTAGCCAATTATAGACCTATATCTAATCTTTTTTTTTCATTTAACCTTTATTTATCCAGGTAGTCTCATTGAGCCACGAGAACTCATTTTCAAGAGACCCGTTTTAGGGAGCACATGGGGGGTTAAGGGCCTTGCTCATGGGCCCAGAGTGGGGCAAATGAGGGTGGGGGCAAGTGTGGGTGCTTCACCTACCCCACCCACATTTTTGATGTTGTCGGTCGTGAACCGGCAATCTAAATCTTTAATCTAAATTTCATATAAAAAATTCCAGAGAAAATAGTTGCTGGTCAGTTACGTGATCATCTGCAAAGAAATAATCTGTTTGAAGAGTTTCATTTAGGTTTTGGAGTTCACCACATCACTGAATCTGCACTGGTGAAAGTCACTAATGATATTCTCATGGCCTCAGACAATGGACAGGTGTCTATACTGGTCCTGTTAGACCTCAGTGCTGCATTTGATACAGTTGATCACAATATTTTACTACAGAGACTTGAATATGATGTTGGGATTACAGGAACGGCTCTAAAATGGTTTAAATCATATCTATCTGATAGATTCCAGTTTGTAAATGTAAATAATGAATCTTCTTCACACACCAATATTAGTCATGGAGTTCCTCAGGGTTCAGTGCTTGGACCAGTACTCTTCCATTTGGTAAAGTTATTAAACAGCATGGAATAATTTTTAATTGTTATGCTGATGATATACAGTTATATTTGTCCATGAAACACAGTGAATCCAATCAGTTACTTAGATTACAAGCATGTCTTAAAGACATAAAAACCTGGATGACCCTTAATTTTCTGCTTTTAAACTCAGATAAGACAGAGGTTGTGGTTTTTGGACCCAAGCATTTTAGGAATAAATTTTACAATCTTTATTTTTCTCTGGATAGCATTAATCTGTCCTCCAGCTCTAATGTTAAGAATCTTGGTGTTATTTTTGATCAGGACATGTCTTTTATCCCCCACATTAAAAACCTTACTAGAACTGCCTTCTTCCACCTGCGTAATATCGCTAAAATGAGAAACATCTTATCTAAAAATGATGCAGAAAAACTGGTCCATGCATTTGTCACCTCTAGACTGGACTATTGCAATGGTTTATTATCTGGGTTTCCAAATACTTCTTTAAAAAATCTTCAGTTGATCCAAAATGCTGCTGCCAGAGTCTTAACTGGAGTTAGTGGGAGAGATCATATCTCTCCAGTTTTAGTTTATCTCCACTGGCTCCCTGTCAAGTCCAGAATTGAATTCAAAATCTTACTTCTAACCTACAAAGCTCTCAACAACCTAACTCCATCTTATAGTACAGATGTTATTGTGCCATATTTTCCTAACAGAGCACTTCGCTCTCAGACTGCAGGTTTACTTGCAGTTCATAGTTTCCAAAAGCAGAATGGAAGGAAGATCTTTCAGTCATCAGGCTCCTCTCTTGTGGAACCAACTTCCAGTTTCTGTCCGTGAGGCTGACACATGGTCCAGTTTTAAGACTGGGTTTAAGACTTTCCTTTTTGATAAATCCTATAGTTAGGGTTGGCTTGGGTTTCCTGAGCTATCCCTTAGTTATGCTGTTATAGGCTTAGACTGGAGGACAACTCTTCTCAACTCGTTTTGTATTTGTAATTATTTCTAGCCTTGACATGTGTTTTTGTCTTTCAGGTTCACCTGCACCTACATCTGTACCTGCCATTCTGTGTTCGTCTGTCTCTCCTTCCTGTGCTCTCAAACCCAGCTGGTCAAAGCACATGGCCGCTTGTCCTGAGCCTGGTTCTGCTGGAGGTTTCAGGCTTCAAAGGGAGTTTTTCCTTTCCACTGTTGCCTTTGTGCTTGCTCAGGATTGGAGACTGAGACAAAGTTAAGATTCAACAGAGTGCACTGCTTCCTTAGATAGAGAACTTTAGTAATTGGCTTTTCTATGTATGTGAATGTTTCAGTTCAGTGCCCTGAGACAACTTTGTTGTGAATTGGCGCTATATAAACAAACAGCTGAATTGAAATAGATTAGCTGTTATCAACCTGAAAACCTAAAAACAGCTTGCTTCACTTCGCCTCGCCTTCCTGACCACAGTTGGTGAAAAAAATAAAAATCCCATCACCATTTAAGGTTGTCTAAGGTTTATGGTTTCCTCATTTCAGCTGGTCATTAAAAAAGTAGCTAAATGCTAGGAACGGGTTAAACTGAAAAAAACACTAGCTGGAAGCTAAAAGAGCACAAGACTAGCTTACAGTCAAGTGTAGCAAAATGTATGCTAAAAGGAAACAAACAAACAAACAAAAAAACTCTAGCCTAAGGCAACACAAAGCTAGCTAAAAGTGGCAAAATGCAGCATGCAGCAAAAGGCAAGTTAAAAGTAGCAAAACCATAGCTAAAATCAGCAATAGGTTAGCTAAAAGTTAATGAAATTTTAAAAAGTTAGAAGATAAAAATACCAAAAGGTTAGCGGAAAAATATCCAAAGACTAGCTAGAAGATAAAAGTAGCATAAGACTAACGAAAAGGTGAAAGTAGCAAAACCATAGCTAAAAACAGCAACACGTTAGCTAAAAGTTGCAAGAAGTTAGCAAAAAATTTAAAAGGTTAGTTAGAAGATAAAATACCAAAGGCTAGCAAAAATATCCAAAGGCTAGCTAGAAGATAAAAAAAATACCAAAGGCTAGCTAAAATATCCAAAGGTGATATCAATTATAAAAGTACCTAAAAGGAAAAAGTAGCAAAAGATTAAAGCTGGATTAATACTCTGTGAGAAGTAAAGAAATCTGCGGTTGCTGACGTAGTTGTGAGATAAAAATTTTGTCATTCTGTTCTTGTAGGAGCTCCCGATGACACCAGGTTAGGGTAGAAGTGTTTTTCTCACTGTACGTCGACAATGTGTGATTGGTCAGAATGTTGTTGTGGGCGTGTTTATGCAGAAAAACGGGTAAAGTGTAATGCAGTGTTTCTTCTACAAACAGGGCGCCCCGCCCTGTCAACAGAACCGTGCGCCCTGCCTACCGAACTATACCTCCCCCCCGGGTCGACAACTGCCGGCACTGATGCAGTGCTAAGCTAGCGGCCCGCAATACAGACGCACTAGCTAAAAAGCTAGAGAGGTAGCGCTCCACTCACACTGAGCCGTCTCTACCCCCACCGCTCGAAAACAGCCTGTACACACACTGCGCAACACTTGTCTCCCTCTCCACTTCAACCGTTCAGCTGAGGAGCAGCTGGCCGAGGCCGTTAGAAAATACAACCATCCTTAAAACTGCTCCAACAAAACTTATTATTAGAATTAAAAGTTATTATTTTAAAGAAGGTCAAAAGGCAAAGAACCCATAGAAGGAGATAGCACAATTAACGTGCACAAAGAAGACCGTCTGTCAAAAACGTTAGCCGTTTCTTTGTGACGGAAGAGTGGAGACCCGGGCGGGAAGAAATCCGATCCGGCGCTGTGGGAGGGGCTTCCCAGAAGTTCTGCGCTAGTTTCTCATCGAGTACAAAATACCCATGCGAAAAATAACGTCTCAACTACGCCAGCAAGAGCAGATTTCATCCCTTCTTGTAGAGTTTAAATCCAACTTAACTAAAAGCTAAATGTAGCCAAAGCTAGCTCAAAGCTAAAAGTAGCAGAATGGTAGCTAAATGCAAAAAGTGCAACAATACAACAAGTATGCTGAAGCAGATTTCAAAGAAAAAACAGTTTTGCAGGAACTGAAGACATCTTAATGTATTTCTATATTTGTAAATTAAGCTAAAATAGAGAAATTGCAGAAAATGCAGTGTGAATGCTTACTGCAGAAGAACTTGCTGAAAAACAGCTGAAATGAGCTAAAACGTGCTGAAACTGAAAATGTAGAACAAGCGTAAACCAGCAGGAGAAAGCAAAAAGAACACAAAAGTTGAAATGAGTGCAAAAAAGTGGAATTAGCTGAAAAATGTAATATTAGCATAAAAACGGCTAAATAGTAGTTGAAATAACTGAAACTAGCAGAAATAAGCTGAAAAGAGCAGAACAAGTTGACATTAGCAGAAATAATTTAATTAGGCTGAAAATAGGAGGAGGTGGAACACCTGGAGAGCAAAGAGAACAACCTTCACATCAGTGTGAAGAAGACGAAGGAGATGGTTGTGGACTTCAGAAGGAACAAAAACACCTATAGGGGTGCTCTGATAATATCGGCCCTGATTTCCTTAATTTTGGGAAATCGGCTGATACTTGCATGAGAAGCCGATTTTACCTTTTTTTTTTGGTTGTTTTGTTTTAACAATTGTCTGAACTTCATTTATATTTCAGAGCACTACCTCATGGCCAGTTAAAACAAGTTCGTATTGTTTCTAGGATATCCTCTTATGTTGAAGGGGGTATGGGTCCTACACCCCCCTGAACATAAGAGGATCTGCAGTGGAAGTGGTCTCCAGCTACAAGTACTTGGGTGTACACCTGAATGACAACCTCAGCTGGAGCAACAACACCACCAGCCTGATCAAGAAAGCTCATCAGAGACTCTACTTCCTCAGGCGGCTGAGACGAGTTGGTCTGGAAGCTCAGTCCTCACCTCCTTCTACAGGTGTGCAGTGGAGAGCATCCTGTGCTCCAGCATCAACGTGTGGCATGGAGGCTGCACAGCTGCAGAAAGAAAAGCTCTGCAGAGAGTGGTGAAGGCTGCACAGAAGACTGTCGGAGTCAGCCTCCCCACCATCACAGACATTTACACCTCTAGGTGCAGGAAGAGGGATGCATCATGCAGGACCTCACTCACCCAGCACACACACTTTTTGCCCCGTTCCCCTCAGGAAGGAGGTTGAGGAGCATTAAGAATAAAACCACTAGACTGAGGAACAGCTTCTACCCTGAGGCTGTTAGACTCATGAATCTCTAACCAGAATAATCACTGTGAAAAAAATCACATGTTGCTGCTGATCTGTTTCATGTTGCTGCTGATCTGTTTCATGTTGCTGCTGATCTGTTTCATCTTGATGTGTTCATGCGTGCTCATCTGCTCACACAGACTCATGCTCATGTTCGTGCTGCTGTTCGACAATGATTTTATGCCATTAGTGCTCAGTGTATATTTAGTTGATGTTTTTCGTTCATTTCTTAGATGTTATCATTGTTTTTCCTTTTACATTTTATTGTTTGATGTAACTGGGACCATGTGTACATAATTTCAGAATAGCAGAAATTACCATAAAAAAAAAACCTTGAATTTTTCTGAAAACAGCCGAAATTAGCTAAAATTTTAAAAAAGATAGCTGAAAAACAAGCTTACATTAGAAGAATGCAGAAAGATCACATTTGCCCAATTAGGTTGAAAGATACAGAAATGAGCACTAAAAAGTGGAAATTAACAAAAAAAGCTGAAATTAGCATAAAACCAGCTGTAAAGTAGATAAAAAGGCAGAAAGAAGCTGAAATTACCAGAAGGAAGTGGAGAGAGCACAAGTTTTCTGAATTAGGTTGAAAAAAAGTTTAAATAAGTGCAACAAAAGTGGAATTAGCTGAAAAAGCTAAAATTAGCATAAAACAGCTTAATAGTAACTGAAATAGCAGAAAAAGCTGAAAGGAGAATAACAAACAAATTAGCAGAAAAATTAGGAAGTTGGCAAAAAAAAATTATCTGAAAAGGCAAAAAGAAGCTTAAACTACCAGAAGGAAGCAGAAAGAACTGGAATGAGCTCAAAAATTGTGGAATTAGCTGAAAAAGCTAAAATTAGCATCAAAAGACCTGAATAGTAGCTGAAAGAGCAGATAAAGCTGAAAGGAGCATAACAAGCTGAAATTAGCTTAAAGATGAGGCTGAAAGTAGCAAAAATTAACATGAAAAACTTGACTTTTATCTGAAAACAGCTGAAATGAGCTAAACAGGTAGCTAAACAGCTTAAATTAGCAGAAGAAAGCAGAAAGAACACACACACCGATCAGGCTGAAAAAAGCAGAAATGAATGCCAAAAAAAATTGGAAATTATCAGAAATTAAACTAAAACTAGCAAACACACACAAACAGCTGAAAGGTAACCAAAAAAAACATAAAGTAGCTAAAATTACAAGGAGGAAGTGGAAAGAGCACATTTTTGCTGAATTAGGCTGGAAAAAGTTAAATGGGTGCAAAAAATGTGGAATTAGCTGAAAAAGCTAAAATTAGCAACAACAAAAAACAGCTAAATAGTAGCTGAAAAATCTGAAACTTGCAGAAACACACAGAGATAATAATAATAATAATAATAATGTCATCACAATGTCAGCACTGTATGTTTCCATACAATGGCGAAATTAGTCTCTGCATTTAACCCATCCACCACCAGGTGGTGCAGTGGGCAGCTATTGAAAGCGCCCGGGGGACATTTTGGGGATGAGACGTGCTGCCCAGAGACGCCACGTGATGTGCAGTGACTGGGGATCGAACCTGGGACTCTCGGGTCCCAAGCCGGCTGCCCTGCCTCTACACCATCAGAGATAGGTAGAAAGAAGTTAAAAGAAGCACAAAAATGTTGTAGTTAGCAAAAAGAATCTGAAAGGAACACAAAACAGCTGGAAAAAAAACAGCTGAAAGTAGCTGGAAAAAGGTTTAAAAATTGCAAAGGAAAGCTGAAAGAAGCCGAAGCAGAGCAAAATGTGAAAGGAGCAATAAAAGGTTGTAAAAAGATTTGAAGGATGTAAAATGAGCTCAATTCATTTTCTATGAGGTAAAAAGTGACAGAAAAGGCTAAATATTTCAAAAAGCTAAAGATGCACCATACCAAAAGTCATAGCACCCTTCTTCTGAACGAGCTGAATGTTTTGATCTTTGATTTGTTGAAATGGAACAAAAGATGATGAAAAAAGTACAGACCAAAGATGGATCTCAGTAGAGTGAATGCTTCATAAACACTCGCTCAATAAAAAGGTACAAAACCACGAGTCATGGCACCGAACTCCTCACGTTTTGATAAATAAAAGGCTAAAATAGCACCAAGCATGCCGAACTTTATTTGGCACTGAGAGAAGCGACTGACCCTTCCCGTAGTTTTTCTTGTTAATGTTTCCGTTCTGGTCTTGGAAGCCCTGCAGCTGTTTTGGGGCGATCTCCTGCAGCTCGCTGACGTCGGACCAGTCGTCATCGTCTTCATCGCTTTCCACCTTTGTGACTTCTGTCCGGGTCACCGGCGGTCGGGACTGCAGGGGTTTGGAGGCCTGGCTGACCAAAGCGTGCCTGGTCGGGACTGGACTGGGTTTACTGGCTTTGGTCTGAACTGGCGTCGCCTGGTTTAACCTGGGTTTCGGTGACTTGCTCTGTTGGGGCACCTCCTCCTCCTCCTCCTCCTCAGAGTTGGACTCCTCCTCTTCAGATTCCTCATCTGAACTAAAGGGAGGGGTCCTTCACAATAAGAGCGCAGAACCTAACTGTCGTTGAACTTGAAAAATGAACATTTATGATCCAAATACTGAGAGGGAACGTTTCCTTACTTGCTTGTGACGATCCTCAGAACGGTCCTGTTGGGCGTAGACGTCTTCGGCTGGACGGTTCTGGTTCTTGGAGCTGGCTGCGGGGTCTTCGGATGTTTGACAGAGGCTACAGACGTCACCTGGCTGGCTCTAGAGGGCAGGCTGCTGGATCGCGGGCGGATCCGCATCACTGAAAGCAGACAAAAGCCGTGTCTGAGCCTAAACAGGCAGATTTAGAGCTCTAAACCAGTGGTTCCCAACCCTGGTCCTTGAGGAACACCGTCCTGCATGTTTTACTCGTTTCCCTGCTTTGACGCACCTGATTTGAATGAATGAGTGATTAAGCGGCTTCTGCAGAACTTGAAAGAAGTAATAAATTTACTGAATCAGGCGTGTTGGAGCTGCAGACAAGTGAAACATTCAGGATGGTGTTCCTCAGGGACCAGGGCTGGAAACCCCTGCGATGAGCTTACGTGTTAAGGAGCTTTTTTTTTTTTGATGACTCAGCACCTTGAACAGGCTGTTTGGATCTGGTCTGAGAGTATGGAGGAGCTTGGTTCTTCTGAACTCCCAGTTTCTGATCCACGATGCTCATCATCTCCTCCCAACAGCTCAAGTAGTCCGGCGAGGTTCTCGCTGCAGCCTCCCGCCTCGACTTTAACTTGGCCAGGAGAGACGTGAGCTCCTTGGTCTTCAAACCACTTCGATCCTAAAAGAAGAACTCAAAATCAAACTCGCTCTACGGACTGAACAGAACCTCTCGATCGTGCCAACATGGCGTCACCTACACTCCTGATGCCCAGGCTTTCTAGTTTCTTGACGACGGAGAGTTCGAGCTCCGGTCGCATCTCCCGCTTGATGTTGGGGTTCCTCTTCAGAGCGCTGCTGGACGTCCTTTTAGCAGCTGAAGGTTCGGGTTTGTTCGCCGCCGGCCTCTTCTCCGAGACGCTGCTGGAGTCTGGAACAGAAACCCGACCAGAGACGCAAAATAATCAGAATCCAAGCAGAAACGTTCTTGTTGTCTGGGAAAGTGCAGCGAGAACGCTGCGAGCTAAAAGACTCTGAAGAAGCTGAAATGGCAAATTAGCAAGAGTAGAAAAAAAAGCTAAAAGTAGCTAAAGTTCAGTTAAAAGCTAAATGTAGCAAACGGCCAACTAAAAACTAAAAGTAGCAAAAAATTAGTTAAAACTCAAAGTAGCAGAGTAGCTGAACAGAAGCTAGAAACTAAAAGTAGCAAAAGGAAAATGAAAAACAAAAAGAAGCTAAAAACTACAAGTATCAATAGACTAGCTAAAAGTATCAAATGCTAACTAAAAGCCAAAGTATCAAAAAACTAGAAAATAAAAATAGCTAATGTAAAGTAGTAAGCCAAAAGTAGCTGAATAGAAGCTAGAAAATAAAAATAGCAAAAAGGAAAATCAAGAAAAACAAAAAGCTAAAAGCTACAAGTATTAATAGACTAGCTAAAAGAAACCAAATGCTAACTAAAAGCTAAAAGTATAAAAAGCTATAAAAAATAGAAAACGTAAAGATGAAAACTAACAGTAGCTGAACAGAAGTTAGAAACTAAAAGTAGCTAAAGGAAAACAAAGAAAAACAAAAAGAACCTAAAAACTACAAGTATCAATAGACTAGCTAAAAGTATCCAAATTTAAGTAAAAGCTAAAAGTATCAAAAAGCTAGAAAATAAACATAGCAAACATAAAGATGAAACGCAAAAGTAGCTAAACGGACGCTAGAAACTAAAAGTAGCAAAAGGAACATCAATAAAAACAAAAAGAAGCTAAAAACCACTATTAATAGACAAGCTAAAGTATCCAAATGCTAACTAAAAGCTGAAAATACTTTAAAAAAGCTAGAAAAAAAATGAGCAAACTTAAAGATTAAAGCCAAAAGTAGCTGAACAGAAGCTAGAAATTAAAAGTAGCAAAAGGAAAAGAAGAAAAACAAAAAGAAGCTAAAAGCTACTAGTATCAATAGACTAGCTAAAAGTGTCCAAATATTAACTAAAAGCTAAAAGTATAAAAAGCTAGAAAGTAAAAATAGCAAACGTAATGATGAAAGCGAACAGTATTTGAACAGAAGCTTGAAACTAAAAGTAGCCAAAGGAAAACTAAGAAAAACAAAAAGAAGCTAAAAACTAAAAGCATCAAAGACTAGCTAAAAGTGTCAAAATATTAGCTAAAAGTATCAAAAGGCTAGACAATAAAATAGCAAACTTAAAGATAAAAACCAAAAGTAGCTGAACAGAAGCTAGAAACTGAAATTAGCAAAAGAGGCTAACAAAGTGCTAATGGCATAAGAAATGGAGCAGCTACGCTGAATCAGATTTTAAAGAGAAGAACTTTTTGAAGGAGTTGAAGAGATCTGAACCCATTTCTACGGGGGAAATATTTACAAATAACTTGGATATTTTCATCAAATAAAGATATCTATATCTATATATCTATATATCTATATCTATATATCTATATCTATATATATATATATATATATATATATACATATACATTATATATATAAGTATTACCAAACCAAACGCCACAGCTCCCATCCTGAGCTGAACATTTGAGAATATGAAGAGATAAAATAGCAAGTACCGGTATATAAAAGTAATCATACTGCAAAAAAACCCTTAGAGAAAACTAATAAACGGAAACGGTGTTACAGCCGGCAGAACCCAACATGCACAGAACCAGGTCCACAAGAAGCCATGAATGTGGAGCAGGCAGAGGAGGAGAACGGCAACAAGACGATGGATGGAACGCAACGACCAAAAGTCAAATCATTCACTGCAGACGTAAAACCTTCCCCATTCTCAGAATGGCGTTTTGAGCTTTTAAAACGGGGTTCTATGGCAAGGTTATGATACGACCATTACTTTAGCACGTTTGTTTTATTGAATTTTTTATTTATTTACAACTGCTGCCTCTGGAACAGAGGAATTGGGTCAACGCACGTATGCTGCGGCTAACTGCTAGCCGCGGACATTTGTGTTCCTTCGTTTTCAACGATCCAACAGAGGCGCGGGCTCATATTCTGGGAGTAACGCTGTAGCTAACCTACGAGGGTAGCTTCTACTTTTTAATCCTTTCAAAATAAAAGTATGATGATGGAAACAGAGGTAGGATCAAATCTACACATCGTAATATTCAAAAATCCGTCTCCTCTCCCCTGCGGAATGTCTGCGTCACCATGTGTCTATGTGCGGGGTGTTTTTTTTTTTTTAAATTTCAGGCTCTCTCTGCTCGGCCAAGCAGTGAGAGTCTGTTAGGAATTTATTTTTACCTCCAAATCATATACATGCATCACTTTCATTACTTTTTGTGTAAACAGGTCTCACTTGTAAATGAGTCTTCGAGGCTCATTGTGATTCATCTGTATAAATAAAGGTTGAAAGAAAGAAAGAAACATTACGTGATTATTCTGGCAGACAATCAGAAATTCTGTGCTGGATGTGCTACAGCTAGCTGCTGTGGTTGCCGTTTAGAAAGAACTGGAGATTTAGATGTAAATAACTAAACTTGTGGCGATGAGAAGTCGTATAAATTAGCGTTTGCATTGACGTCTACAACATTTTTAAGATTGAAGTTTTTAAGACAACAACCCACTTTGGTCTTTTTTTGCTCAGAATAGTCGTTAGCTCGTCAGTTAACAAACTGAAGTCACTCAAAGCACCATCTACAGCAGGTGAGATATTGCTTGTTCATAACCTTTCCAGAGAACCTTGCTTAAAACTGCCTGGACTGTGGTTTGAAGCTGCTCAGAACAGACTCATTCATGCAGCAGCATGCAGTCGACCCACTCCGTCGCCTCTTTACCTTTCTCCTCTTCCGACAACTCTTGAATAGGATCCAGCTTAAGAGCAGAGACTGACTCCTCTACACGGGCGGCACCGAAGGGGGGGGGGGG